GTGTCACCCATGAACCGCACTGTGTCACCCATGAACCGCACTGCGTCACCCATGAACCACAGTCATCCTTGAACCGCACTGTCACCCATGAACCGCACTGTGTCACCCATGAACCGCACTGTGTCACCCATGAACCGCACTGTGTCACCCATGAACTGCACTGTGTCACCCTTCAACCGCACTGTCATCCTTGAACCGCACTGTGTCACCCATGAACCGCACTGTCATCCTTGAACCGCACTGCGTCACCCATGAACCACAGTGTCACACATGAACCGCACTGTGTCACCCATGAACCACACTGTGTCACCCATGAACCGCACTGTGTCACCCATGAACCGCACTGTCACCCATGAACCGCACTGCGTCACCCATGAACCACAGTGTCACACATGAACCGCGCTGTCACCCATGAACCGCACTGTCACCCATGAACCGCACTGTCACCCATGAACCGCACTGTCACCCATGAACCGCACTGTGTCACCCTTGAACCCGCACTGTGTCACCCTTGAACCGCACTGTGTCACCCATGAACCGCACTATGTCACCCATGAACCACACTGTGTCACCCATGAACCACACTGTGTCACCCATGAACCGCACTGTGTCATCCCTGAACCACACTTTGTTGGGCAGGATATTAAAACATCTCGTCACTGAAATTATTAACTGTCTCTTTCCTGTTTTGAGTCTTGTAAACTCACTTAATTAGTAAAAAAAAAGGAGACTGAGTTAGCAATATGTTTAATTTTTTGGTGTTCTACATGCATTCTGTGTATTTCCTTCACTGTTTTTTTTACTTTACCTGATTATCATTAGAAGAGGGGAAAATGTCTGTCCTCAACATTGCTGTTGATCATCTGCGAACTTGGAAATCTGATCAATAATTGTAAAATGTCCACCAAGTTCAATTTTGGTGTGGCTAGCATGTATGAATAATTTTCAAGTTATGGGTCAAAATTAGCTAAAATAAAATGTTTTTTAGACTTAGAAATAAGTGCACAGAATGTATGCATTCTCATGGGAACTCACTATTAGTAATTCTGCTACCTAAAATGTATCAATTCACTCTAATCAGGCTGAGGCCATTGCTGGCTATTTGTATTCAAAGCCTCACTTTCGCATTGATGAAACGTATCAGTGGTGTATCTGATCGTTGCATGGGACCTAAAAATAAATCTTGGAATGCAAATTAGTCAACAATGACCACCACATGATAGTAGCATTTTGCAGTGAATTTGTTACATTCCCTGCCAAAACACTGGTCAGTATTTTTACCTCCAAGGTTTGCTGTATTTGGGAACATTTATACATGTATAATTCATTTATATGTTTGACTAAGGGACCCTGAGATTAATACAGTACATATAGTATCAAGTGATGAACATGGATATTAATTTTTTTTTTATGTTACTATGATAACCTCATTGTTTTCATTTTTGGTCAGAATTGTTTCCTCCTAAATTTTTGACACTATTTTCCGCACAAAACTTTAGGATATATTATTGTTTTTTTTTCTGTACTTTCATTTTCACTTTTGCTCAGCAAAAAAAATCATTAGTCAGTATTTATTAATTCTGAATTTTTATTTGTTATTTAATATCTAAATGGGCAATGTTGTTATGGTTATGCTATGTTCTCTGTGGGAGGCTTAAATGTATGCTAAATAATACAGCAGTCAGAATAATAAGCCAATAAGGTGGAGCAAAATCTGTCTGTTACTAAATTCAGAAATAAATAGGTGACACACTGGGTATAATACTAATATATATATTTTCATTGGACATATATTTACAAGATATTGATGTGAAAATACAATATTATGTTATTCTACTTAACACCCAACTCACTTTTTTATTTTCAAAAGCATTAAAAACTGGTAAGGTGCCCATAAATATTTATAAATTGTGAATTCCAATCAATGTCAACTACTCGTTGCCATAGGAAATCTATCTGACCTCACCTAATAATGTTGCCATAATTTCAATTTTTTAAAGTACATGTACATAAGAGTAACCATGTGCCTTGTCTGAACCAATCAGTACTAGTACATGTGTATATATATTGTAAATCACAATAGTTTATTTATCACTATTTATTTATAGTGATCTTTAGCAGTGTATTAAAAGACACCGACAACATATTGTATGTTTGTACTATTAATATTTTACAAATTGATACTATGAGTAATCTTTGCTAATTCAGCAATATTTAGATCCTGAAGGCTACACAAATTCAATTTAACATTTTGGACACCATATATCAGTAGGTTGTAATAAGATTTAACCTAACCTAACCTCATAGTCATTTGTTTGCAATTGCACAGGAGGGAACAGCTGTTAACACAGCTGAGAAACACCCAAACTTGTAATATGCAAATCGTTTTACCAGTACAGTGACCAGGAAAGTATATCTGTTAGTTTAATGGTTATATAACCACAACAGTGCAAATTCAAAAAATGTCTCATCGTCAGTCCTTTTTTTTTTTTCTTAAGAATTATGTCTCTGGATATACTTGCATTGATTGTAATGTTGGAAATGGCATACTGAAATGATTAGTTATGAATATATTAGTAAATCTTCCACATGGACATTGAATACAGTGACATTTTGAGTGCTTAGCCCAAGCTAAGTGTTCAAGACATTGTTAGCCCATGCTAAAGGTCTAGACTAGCTGGGTCTTTAGCTTGTGCATATTGTTTCTTAGCTCATACCGGTACTAAGCATTCATGCATGTTTTCTTAACGCATGCTATGAAGCTATGCATATACACAACTAGTATTGTAAATTAATGTAGCTGAGGTCATTCACTGTTTATTCATGAGTCCCACTGAGAGGCATAGAGATACATGTAGATAATCTATTGTACTGGATACTCCATACATACTATCCAAGAAACAACACACAATTTTGTCGGTACATGTACCAGTAGATTTCCATAAATATCACAAGCTGCAGACTGTTGTTGCTATCAATCTAGAATCAGTCTACTGCTA